ATTTATGCTATTCTTTAATGTGCATGGTTCAAAGTCTACTCGTAGTAGTACTTCAATTTGACTTCCTTTTTATGCTGCTTTTGTAAGTGTTGATGACCACTCTGTTTTTTTTAATGCTCCTGCATCACATTATATGTGACACAGTTTCTTTTCCCAACATCCTAAAGGGTTTGATACAGTTCCGCGGATGATGATAGCAAGGTTAATTATTGTACCTTTCGACAAGTTTCAGGATTTCAATGGCTGTATCACGATCCAATATCAGTACATATTGAACTGACTTCTTATACTAATTAATACAATATTCTTTTATGTGGTGATATAAACTTTAATATTGTAGAGACAAATTTAATTAATTATACTTTAATGCAAAAAAATAAAACTAAAATGAAGAAGTTGACTTATTTACTATTTGAAGAGTCAAAATATTTTTTCTTTTGACTATTATCTACTCAAAAAAAGGTAGCATTTGGTAGATCTGAACTTATAGGCACTTTATCTGAATTTATATAACAATCATTTCATTTTGAGACGATAAGATGTTTGACACCACTCGGGTTCTCTACAACTTTCACAACTTTCATTAAACTACTCAAATTGTAAACTTTTGATGTGATATTTATCTCTCAAACTAATATTTCAACCATTGCTTGAAGATATTTCTTCTACTGTCACTAATATAGTTATAGGTCAAATTAACATCTTAAACTTCGTCATATAAAATGGACTGGAGGGCATATTAGTCGTTTTATATCAAGGTTCTGATCTTGTGACTTTTGTTCAGTAAGAAAACATAAATTAGTGACCAAGAATGAGGCTGAAGATTGGTGAGCTTGTCTTTACTAGGCTGAATCTGTCAAGCTTTTGCAATGGAGGAGCAGATATTATTTTTGCCAGAACTGAATATGTTGCTCTTTATATCTGAGTTGTGTTTTAAGAGCACGCCGTGATAATATCCGTCATATCCGTTGCCCTTGCAGTTATTCAAATATCGATTTGCAACTTCCAATAGGTTAGCATAGTTGAAACAATAACTACTAACTAGTGTTCATAGAAAGGAGAGATTGCTAACTTCTACTGCCTTCTTCTTGTGACCAGCCGTACTACAAATTTCATGACATGACAAATTTGTAGCTTGATTTGAAGCAACTTCTATCAAACTAAATGAACATGCATATAGAAGACAATGGATGGAAATTTCATTGTGTATTTTGTTGATACAAAAGTCTTATCAAGCTGTTATAATTTGCAGTATACAATAGCAATGCTGGGATATGGTCCAGAAGACACGAGTTCTGTGATGGAGTTGACATATAATTATGGTGTCACTGAATATGACAAGGGAAATGCATATGCACAGGTAGCACTCCATATATTAGTAGCACCTTTACTTTACATGTCATATGTTATACTGGTAGCACACTATCTGAACCAGTTAAATTCCTATAACCAAAAATGGCCAAAGCCTTTCAAAATCATTTGCTTGCAACGGCTTGAGTGGACAAATAATTACGGTCATTAGATCTTTCATACTATTACCAAAGTACACTCAAGAATCAACCAAGCTTGCGTCCCTTTAGAGCAAATATTTTCTGTTATCAATGAAAACAGAAAGAAAGAAAGAAAAAGAAGTAGTGTGTTTCGTATACGAGACTTGTAGCTTGATTCCTTACTCATTCCATCCAAAGTTCACTGACTTACACATCTGCCAACAGATAGCTATAGGCACAGATGATGTGTACAAGACCGCAGAAGCAATCAGACTGTGTGGTGGAAAGATTACGAGGGAACCAGGACCGCTACCTGGTATCAGCACCAAGATTGTAGCATGCCTAGATCCTGATGGTTGGAAATCGGTAATACTATTAACATTACAACTATGTGTTTTTCCCCCTAGTTCTCTAATCGTAAGTTCTACTGTTATTGAATACGCAAGTCTAACATCTTTGGAAAACATGCAGGTTTTTGTTGACAATGTAGATTTTCTCAAGGAATTGGAGTAAGCTGTTTTCGGAAGAAATAGTTGGCATACACGGAACATCTTGAGGACATTGATGCTTCATCGAAATTACTTCCTCGCCTTTGGCCGAAATGATACAAAGGGACTACCATGAAAAAGAGCCTAAAATTGTGCATCTTGTGGATAAAATTACAGAAGTTGTGGCTTCACCAGCATTAGAAGAGTATAGAAGCATGAACTCATAAATCTACGTGCTTTTTGTAATAAGTTTACTGCCTTTTCTTACTGGAAAACTTTGCAAAGTAGGGAATCAATAGTTTTAGCAAAGTGAGGACTTAGTAGTGCTCTATTTCCAATATGTACAATCCCTAATTTCAATTGTTCATTTAACTCTTTTTCTTCTAGTTGGACTATAGGTACCGAGGATCAGTCAGTTTCCAGTTGCAAGTTCCACTATTGTGTTGTGGTCAATTATTTTGTTCTAATAAAAAAAGTGAATATAAAAGCCATATCTGATTTCCTTCTAGTTGGGCATGAATCAGAATTCAAGAGTAGAGGAAGCCATGAAAAAACAGGTCAAGTTTAGTTTTTGTTCAATAGTAAATAAAAGTTCTATGCACAAATGGTGTAAAAGTGATTAAAGGAAATCATTTGTAATTAGCTTGATTGGTAATCTAGCAAAAATGGTAACTTGCTATAATAGGTTCAAATTTGCCTTTCGTTGCACTTTTGCTTGACTTATATTCTTGTCGTTAGCAAATCGTCTCATATTTGACGTTGTCACTTGATTCCTCGTCTCTTATTTGACCTAGTCACTTAGAGATTCATTTTCATGTCCAATTTTTTTTCAAAGAAAAGATGTCCAAATTTACAGTATGCTTTAAAATTAACTTAGGCAGCCCATTGCACTAGGCTCCAGTTATGCGCGGAGTCTGGGGAAGGACCAGATCACAAGAGTCTATTGTACGCAGCATTACCTTACATTTTTGCAAGAGGCTGTTTTCACAACTCGAACTCGTGACCTCCTGGTCACATAGCAGCAACTTTACCAGTTATGTCAAGGCTCCCCTCCAATGCTTTTAAATTAACCTTCGAGGAAGAGTCGGATCACAAGGGTTTATTGTATGTCGCCTTAAACTGCATTTCTGCAATAGACTGTTTCCACGGCTCGAACTCATGACTTCTTGATCACATGACAGTAACTTTACCAGTCACACCAAGACTCCCCTTCAATGCTTTAAAATTAGCCTTGGAGCTCAATTTCGAAGAGTAATGAGCAAATGTGACCCTTTCCAAAGAAGAAAGCTCTCAACTTGAGTACCAGATGATAATTGTAACTGCAATTAAACTTGCATTGTAAATTTGAAACTCACTTTTATGCAGTTTCAACACACTGTGACAATATCCACAAGTCATAAAACACTCAGAAATCATGCAAATTTTATACAAATATTAGAAACTATTCTTATATATATATTTACTTCAATCTTTCAACTAGGAAAATTCATCTGTCCTTTTTTGTTCATAAAGGACCAAACAAAATTTGAACTTCCCTACAGAAAAACATAACACTACTAATTCCACCTTCTAGATAATCACTAACTAATAACTAATCAAAATTAAAATACTCTAATGACTAATCAATTGTTAGACTAATACTACTATATACTAAATATAATTACTTTGAGACGACCGAGAAATCCATCTGGAGCCAACCTTAGGACCAAGTGGCAGCCTTAGAAACTCGGGATAATGATCCCGCCCCTCTACTAATATTCACTTAAATACCTCTTCCAAGTTATAGCAAAGCAAAGGCCATCACTTTCTCTATGTCTAAACATCCAAACAGTAACATAATCATTTTCTTTCAACTTATGATCTTTAACAAACTGTCTCCAACTTCCTAAAAGCACAACTCCTGTAATTTCCCCAAGTCTTAAAAGTCATTTTATAAGAATTGCACAATTGATCAAAAGTTGTGACTTTTACACCATTAGCCAGATTTTCACCATTTTTACCATTCAATAATGGTAATAATTTACTCCTCGCATCTTCATTGTTCAATAATAGCCTCCCCTGATGCTCATCAACATCAGATTTTGTCAATTGCTTCTGAAAAGGATCACTACATATAGTACCAATTATTCCTCTCAAATTCTGAACTGGGGGCAAACTTGGTAAATTTGTCAATGTAGAGGGTGAAATTCGAATCTTTTTTGGAATTGGCTTTGAAATTTTTCTTCTTGATTTTTGCAATTTCTTGGACTCTTTTTTCTCATAAAAAATGGTGGCCATATTTTGGACATCTTGCTTACTAACAGCAGTGTATTTCAACCAAGAAAGAAGTAAAGCAGCAGCAATATCTTCTCTTTCTAGTTCCCCCATATCTGAATTATTTGAAAGATTTTTCTTTTCTGATTTTTTCTTCTTCTGCTGAGTGTGATAAGGACGAGGACTTATTAAAAGGAAGAGAGATTGTAGTTTCTTGGAGAGGAAGAAACTACACGGCAGTAGTACTTCTAGTGCTTCTCTATTGCCCAAAGGGTTTTATGATTAGGGCAGAAGAAACCCAAATGGTTGGATGGGCTTTTTACCTTTTTTTTTTCTTGAACGTAGAATATTTTTAGTTTCTTCGACAAAATAT